CATTCCGACGCCAACGGTTTCCCAACACACTCGCCTCGGCGAACAGAGGAGGGCGTGGACTGCGTCACGGAATTGGGGGGGGCGGCTGGGGAGGCCCCCGCTGCACACTGAGCCACAGCAGCAGGCCCCAGCCCGCCCTGCCACTGCTCCCCCAAAGTGACTCAGCCCCCGCAGCCCCGGGCCCAGCCGGTGGCTCTCCGGCCACAGCCCGGCTCCGCCCCTGCAAGGTCCCGCGGCTCCAAGCCAGGGGGACCCCTGAGCCTGCCAGATGTGGCCCCCGAACAAACCGAAGTCATAAGAAGGCAGTCTGATCAAACAACATCTTCACCACTGCCGGGGGCCAGGAGGGCAGGAGGGCAGGAGGGCAGAGCCTCCTCTCGCTGTCTTGGTTTGATGCTGCGCTAGTCGCCCCGAGAAGCTCCTGAGAGCGATCCCTCGGCAGAGCCAGAGTCCCCCCCCCCCCCACGGCAGATGCCCCCAAGCAGGCAGCATCCCCACTGCATCTTCTCAGACACGCCCCGCCCCTCGCCTCCCGAGATGTCCCCACATCCCTCTGCAGAAGCAGTGCTGTGCTCTCTCCCGACACGCACTTCTCCCTTTCTCTTCCCTCCAGCTCTCTAAGTAAGGTTCACCAGGGTCAGCAGACGCAGTAAAGGGGGCAGGGCCATCCCCATCTGGTCCCCCGAGTCCCCCAGGAGTGATCCTGGAGCGGGGAGTCTGAGTTAGCCCTGAGCATGGTCAGGTGTGGCCGCCCCAAACAAACAAGAATATATAAATTTCAATAAAAACTTTCCTGCTTCGGGCCAGAGGGATAAACCATCCGATCAACCCAGGCGCCAGCCCCGAATGGTCTCCCAGGACATCAGGAATGACTCCTGAGCACACGTGTGGCCCCCGACCAAAAATCAAAACAAAGGAACAAAAGCTTGCTTGCTTTACCCAAATAAACAAGTACAGCTCAACAGTACAATGCTGGTCAGTTCAGTGTCCAAACACAAAATATTATATATACTATCTATGGATATACACACATATCTCCAGAGTTAATTAATACGTGTAAAATAACTAGAGTTTTTTTTTTTTTTAAAAGGACTATAAACTCCCAGGCCAGGGCTGGAGCGATATTCAGCACTTGCCTTGCAGGCCACTGATCTGGGTTCGACCCCCAGCACCTCATATGGTTCCCCAAACTTGCCGGCAGTGATCCCCAAGGTCAGAGGCGGGAGAAAGCCCCGAGCACAGCCGGGTGTGGCAAAAACAAAGGGGAAACACCGAGAGGATCACACTCTCAGAGTCCCCGGGCCCGGGCCCGTGTGGTCCAGGTCTGCGTGACTCTCACCTGAACGACACACAGAGGCAACACGGCAAGTCCACAGCAACCAGCCCTAGGTCCCAACGTTGCCTCTGCAACGGAGTCTTTCCTTTCCCTTCGGAATTCCACTTAGCCGAACCATCTCCTGGCCACGTTTGTGAGTGACGGGGCACTAGGACTACTGAATAAGGCCCCAGGGATGACTGCAGGGCCGGGGCGGTACAGCAGGTAGGGCCTTTGTGCCTTGCACGCGGCTGACCAGGTCGGATCCTGGCAACGCAAATGGTCCCCGAGCCCGCCAGGAGTGATCCCTGATGCCAGAGGCAGGAGAGTCCGCCAGGGTGTGGGCGACACGGATTCAAGCGCTCGCACTGCGGGCCCCCTGCACCTCAGGCGCGGCCCTGCATCCCAAGCCAGCAGGAGCCCGGAGCAGCACGGAGTGTGACCCCAAAACGCAAGATATTTTTTGTAATTTCACAAAACTGGGGCTGGAGTGACAGCACAGCGGGTCGGGCCCCTGTGGCACCCCATATGGTCCCCCAGCTCGCCAGGAGTGATCCCTGAGCACGGCCAGGTATGGTCCCCAAACCTACAAATACATTAAAAAATAAAAACGATTCACGGTTTAAATTTTAAGCATCCCACCCCAGTCCCTCAGCTGGAATAAACTTCCCCTTGGATTAACCTTAATTCATCAACACCAAGAAAACGCAGTTAGTTTTTGAGACAACTACCCATTTTACCTTTTTAAATTTCTTTTGGGGCCAGGCCTGTGATGCTCAGGAGTTACTCTGGGTTCTGTGCTCAGGACTCACTCCTGGGGGTACTTGAGGGACCATATTGGATGCCAGGGCTCGAACCAGGTCTGCAGTGTGCAAGGCGCCTTACCGGCTGTACTATCTCTTCAGCCCCTCTTTTTAACATTTTAAAAGGACACATCTCTGACGACACCCTGGTAAACCCTATGAAGCATGAAGTCACCACCCTGTCTGCCTCCAGGCATCTCGCTGAGGATTGCTCAACACACATCACACATGCGGGACACATGACTTATTGCGCAATGGGCGTCAGGCCCTCGGCCTCACTCCTGACCCTGACCAGGACCTTCATGACCACACACGCTTCGGTTTGGTTTGGCCACACCCTTGGTGCACAGGGCCGACCCCTGGCTCTGTGCTCAGGGGCCATAGGTGGTGGTACTGGGGATGGCACTCAGGGCGGCCTCACGCAAGGCAGGCGCCCAGCCCACTGTACCGTGACTCCACCCCGCTCTATAGCCTGAGAGGTTCGTCTTATATGTAAAATATACCGATGTGATCATTTGTACTAAAACTGTAAGAACGTGCATTTTGTGACTGAACCACTCACTAATTCAGGATGGACCAGGCCCAAAAAAGAACTAATTCAGCTTCAAATGAAGGACATCTCCAAAATCTTTTTTTTTTTTTTTTTTTTTTTTGCCTTTTGGGTCACACCCGGAGATGCACAGGGATCACTCCTGGCTCTGCACTCAGGAATTACCCCGGTGGTGCTAAGGGGAACTTATGGGATGCTGGGAATCAAACTCAGGTCGGCTGCGTGCAAGGCAAACGTCCTACCCGCCGTGCTATCGCTCCAGCCCCTGAAATTCTTTTTCAAAGAAATACATTTTAGTCTAATTAAAGAGCCACGATCCACAAAGTCATGGCGAGTCCCCAGCATCTACTCTTCCGACGCCCCCGCCAGCCCCAACCCACACCCACCAGTTGGACGGCGGCGGCTCGGACCTCCTGTTTCAGTGTCCAGTCTGTGCTGTGGACACGTCTCCCCTCTCCCACGACACGTGAAGGCCCAGCCCTACCCTTCCCGGTCCCCTTCCTCTTCTCTGTTCCCCTACACGCGGCACCCTCCTTGATGTTACGTTTCCCTGCAGTTATTCTGCAGACGCTGATGATCCTCCCCAAAGGAAGCTTCCCTCCCCGAGGCCTGGCCCTGAGGAAGCGGCCCCCTTCCGAACAAGGCGAACGGCAAATCTGTATTCGAGTCTAGAAAGCACAAATACAACTAAAGCAGCTGATTCTTTTTTTTTTTTTTGGAGGCAGAGGGGGTTGGGTCACACCCGGCAATGCTCAGGGGTTACTCCTGGCTCTAAACTCAGAAATTACTCCTAGCTGCGCTTGGGGACCCTACGAGATGCCGGGGACCGAGCCCGGCCTGGCCATGTGCAAGGCCAGCACCCCGGCCACTGGACTATCACTTAGACCCCGCAGCCGATTTTGACGCTACGGCTAAGTTGCTAAAACTCTGTGAAATCCCCTTTCATGACCAACCCGCCACCATCCTCAGAACATTCCACCAGGATCGCAGAGGCGGTCAGGGCCCTGGTTTCGAAGAGAAGGCCTGAATCTGACTGGTCTCCGCCTCCGACAGGCTACGACTTCAAAGCTGCTTTGTTTCTCCTCCGGCAGGACCTACCCACCTCATTATGACCCAAGCCCGGGAGCGGACAAGTTAACAAACGTCTGTACGTTTTGCTGTTGCTACGAGAACCAACAAGGTGCCAGGGGGGTGAGGAACTGGACCCGCCACCTCCAGAAACCCCCCATAGGTTGAATCCGGAGGTGGGTCCCAGGAGGGAGCCCGGAGCCCCCGCCACCCGCGTCCAGGGGCCCCTGACATCTGTCAGAAGCACGACCTGACAGCGGGGCCGGGAGCAGCGGATGCCCAGAGGCTGCCCGTGGCCAGTGGCCAGCGGGTCCCAGGCCCGGCTCCTTGTCCCGGACCCACACAGAGCCTCAGACCCTCCAGGACCCATCAGCCTGGCCCACGGCAGGCAGCTCCGGCCCCTCCCGCCAGGGCCCTGCCTGGGGCATCAGAGCAGCTGCCTGGCCCTCGGGCTGCCCTGTGCAGCCAGCCGGCCGGCCGGCCAGGGTGGCCCGATCCCGGGTTGCACCCGGGCCTTGACCTGAGCTCTCGGAAGGGCCGGGCACTCCCACCCACCGAGCCAGCCGGGGCTGGACCACCGCCCTCCCTCCCTGCGCGACTCACTCACTCCCGGCTGGGACTCAGAGTCACAAGCTCGGCGCCTGCTGCTGGGGGCCGGACTCCCACCTGCAGCCTGACCTGTCCGACCGCCCCCGGCCGGGCACGGAGCAGCCAGAGCCAGGCGGTGTGGGCGGGGTGCAAGGACGGCGCCCAGGGGGCACGGGCCGGGCGACACCGGCTACGGGGCAGGATGGGGGCGGGGGCGAGGAAGGCCGCCGGGGCAGCGTCCAGCGTCCAGGGGGAGAGGGGGATGCGGCCGAGGGCATGTCCAGGGGGGAAAGCCGCCGAGGGCAGGGCCGAGGGGGAGGAGGAGACACGGTCCAGAGCACGGTCCGGGGGGAAACACGTCCGTGGGCAGGATGGGGGGGGGGGGGGAAAGGCCGCCCGGGCAGCGTCCAGCGTCCAGCGTCCAGGGGGAGAGGGGGATGCAGCCGAGGGCATGTCCAGGGGGGAAACACGTCCGTGGGCAGGACGGGGGGCGGGGGGCGCGGCCAAGGGCAGCGTGTCCAGCGCGGGCTGGGGGCCGAGCGGCAGCGTCGCGACCCACCGCCCCCCGGGAGCCCCCGACGGTGCGGCCAGGCCGGGGCGGGCGAGGTCGGGAGGGGCCGGGGCGGGCCGGGTCGGAGCGGGCCGGGCCGGAGCGGGCCCCGGGGCCGGGCCTCACCGCGATGACGTTGACGAAGGTGGTCTTGCCCGAGTACTGCAGCCCCACGAGCGTGAGCTCCATCTCCTCCTTCCAGAAGAGCGAGCGGAACCAGTCCAGCAGGCGGGAGATGAGCGCCAGCATCGTGCGGCCGGGCGGGTCGGGCCGGGCCAACGGCTGGCGGCGCCGGCGGACGCGGCGGACACGGCGGCGGGCGGCGGCGGCGCCGGGGCCGGAAGCGCCGCCGTCATGTGACCGCCCGCCCCGCGCGCCGCGCCCGGCGAGAGCGGCCCGGCCCGGCCCGGCCCGGCCCGCGCCCGCCGCGCGCAGCGGCCCCTGCCGGCGGGGCGGGGCGAGGCAGGGCAGGGCAGGGCAGGGCCAGGCCAGGGCCAGGGCCAGGGCCAGGGCCAGGACAGGCCAGGGCCAAGGCGGGGCAGGCCTCTTGGGGGGTGGCCGCAGTCGGGAGCCCGAGTTGATCAGGGCAGCAGAACGCGCGGACTCGACGCCCCCTCTGCGTGGAGGGATGCTACGCGGTTGTCAAAAAGAGCAGGACGCCTGAGCGTCAGTCCAGCGTCTGTCCACATACCTCCCTTGCCCTGCGTGTGGCTGACCCCGATCCTGTTCCCAACACCGCCAGGAGTGACCCCTGAGCCCAGAGCCAGGGCTAAGCGCAGAGCACACCCCCCGCCCCCCATAAACACTCAAAGGAAAGGGATGCGGGCAGATGACCGGAGCACGTGCTCTCCAGGGCCCCTGGGCTTCACACCCTGGCACCGCCCCCCACACTAAGGCAGGAGTAGCCCCCCAGCCAGGTATGACCCCCAAGAAAGAGCACACATGAAGGAGCAGAGAGCAGCCCGTTCAGGAACGTTCCTGGCCCGGAGCTGCCCTTCCCTCGACCCCTGACCATCACCAGCTGGTGAGAAAAATCAAGCCAGGAGAAAGGAGGGAAGAAGGAGGAAGTCCTCTGTGCCCTCATAGTGGTGAAACACCAGGATTTCAAACCTGCCTGTAAGGCGCAGACCCCGAGCAGGTGGGGTTGAGCCCGAGCCGGGAGAGTGAGAAGGTGCGGCTCTGCGTGGGGGTCTTGTGGAAGGACAGAGACGGCACCAACGAAGGAGCCCAGAGCGAACTGATACCCTTCCGGGGGTTGGAACCGGCCACCTGTCACCCAGGGCACCCCAGACATGACAGTGAGCGGGGCCTGCGGGGCCCGGGACACCAAGGCCATGCCCAGGGGGGCTTGGGGGTTCCCGACAGCTCTCGCCACCAGGCTCCGTGCCCGGGATTGCGGACCAGGAGGGAGCGGGTCGGGCCGGGTGGGGTCGGGCCGGGCCCCTGGTCCTGCCCTCACCCCCAGTGCCGCCCCTGGTCCTGCCCACGTCCCTTAGCTCTTCCTCCCTCGCCCCTCCTCCAGGGAACTTTTGATACCATTATGCCCTTGGGGGGATTGGTGGGGACTACACCGGGTGCTCAGGAGAGCGTGTGGCACCCGGGATTGAAGCCAGGACCCTCCCTGAGCTGGCTCCAGGCTCTTCCTCACAGTGCTCCTTAGAGAGGGGTGGATCTGTGCACACTGTCCTGGTGTTTGCAGCGCCAGGAACGGCAGCCCAGGCCACAGGGTTGCAGAGTAGGTGCCATACCACAGGGTCACACATGGCACGCCCCCACACACAGGGCCACTCACATGGCCCCCCGTCCCACAGGGCCACGCGCGATGACCCCCGCCACACGGGGCGGTGCCCTCCGCTCCCTGCCCAGGGGCCACTCCTGCGGTTTGGGGGACAGTGAGGGGTTGTGCAGCACCAGGGCTGGGGTCCGCATGTGTGCTCTGGTCTCTCAAGCCACCCCGGGGCCCCGGGCCCCCATCCTAGTAACTCAGGCGAGCCATCAAGAGGGCTCAGAGGGCCCAGGGGCTGAGTCTTGGCTTCATTCCCCACAGGGCACTCACTGGGGGGTACCCTGAGACCACTGGGGGTGACCCTTGGCACTACACCAGAACAGGCCCCGAGTGCTGTGACCATAAGCCAGGCCGACGTATGGATGCAGGGCTCTGCTGTGAGCGCACACGCCCGCTGACGCTCTGTGCTCGGGAGTCCCAGCTGCGTGAGGTATCGGGGGTCGAGCCAGCAGCTGCGGGCGGGGACAGAGCAGCAGCCCCCCCCCCCCAACTCAACCCCTGCTGGGTCCCAGCCTCTGGGCTTCCCGCTAGAAAACAGCAAACAGCTGCTGTCTCAGGGGCTTCCCTCTTAGGGGTGACCGCCCCCTCAGAAGCACCCGAGGCTGGACGAGTGCTGGCAAGTCTGGGCAACGAAACTCAGGTCAACAGAACTTCTGGGAGGAAAATCCTAAGACTGATCCACCCAGTGGATACAGAAAACAGACCTGGTAAGACCTGCAGCAGACTCTGAGGAGCTTGGGCCCCCTCCCCCTGAAGTTCCTCAAACCCTCGAACCTCTCCCTTAATCTGATCAAAATGTGATCCAGCCCCGAGAAGACTCCAGAACTTCTGGACCAAGACAACCCGAGAAGAGCCTATAAAAGCCACCTTGAACATGTCACCTGAGCACAGGTGTTGCCTGCATCTCCCCTCTTGCGATGTGTACCTTCATGCTTTCCTGTCTAATGCTGGGATGTGTCCGGGGTTCTCTCTGCCCCTGGAGAAGTCTGTGTTCTCTTGAGCACGTTGTTCTCTCTCTCTCTCTCTCTCTCTCTCTCTCTCTCTCTCTCTCTCTCTCTCTCTCTCTCTCCACACTTTCAAAAAAAAACCCCTCCAAATAAAATCTATTGACTTGACTGCTTGTCTACTCCTGAAATTCAATTCTGCGAGGCGAGACAAGACTCCAGTAACCCTGGGTCCCAGGTGGCAGAGGTGGATCAGGAGAAGGTGACCGTCCTTCTCCTCCCCACTTCACATAAGTCGCCCGTGGGCCCCACCGACATCAGAGCAGCCCTGGGTGCAGGAGGGCTTCATGCTCACTGAGGAAGAGGTGACTCTGGGGAAGCAGGGGCTGGGGCTCTTGTGGGGGTGAGGCGGGCAGGGGGGGTCTTGCCTTGCACACGACTGACCTGGGTTCGATCCTCGGCACCCCCTGTAGTTACCTGAGTGCAGCAAGCAAGGAGTAACCCTGAGCACCGCAAGATGTGGCCGCGCCCCCCCCCCAACAGTGCAGGGGGAAAGGAAGAGCCAGATGTTGTGGGGGTGGGGGGAAGGGTGGCTGCAGGTCGAGGGACCTTCCCGGGCTCCCCTAGTCCCGCTGCAGCCTTAACCCCAGAACTGGGGGAGTGGCCTTGTGGAGACTGGGCCGTGGCAGCCTGGGGGTGCCAGCTGGCATTGGTGCCAGGCGTCCCTCGCAGCAGAGGCCGGCAGAGACAGGACCAAGGGAGAGGCATGGGCAGGATGCTACCGTGGACACCACCGACCCGGATTGGATCCCTGGAATTCCAAATGGTCCCCTGAGCACTGAGCCAGGAGAAAGCTGGAAACACAGCCGGGTGTGGCACAAAAACAAAAACCAGGGGCTGTGGAGCTGCCAGCAGGTCAACCTGTACTTGCAGGGCAAGCGCATCGGCAGCCTGATGGTGCCTTCAGGCTCCCTGATACCCCAAAATTGTCGCTGTGCCTTTGGATGGACCCCAACAACTTGGGGCCAAGTTTACAAAGAAACTAAATGGCCAAAATTAGGTATGTGGGAGCCATACCCACAAACCACCTCTGACTGAGGCATGCAAGCTCATTTATTGGCCTTATTTCTGTCCTGTCTGTCCAAACACTGTCGTCCCGTTGTTCATCGATTTGCTTGAGCGGGCCCAGTGATGTCTCCATTGTGAGACTTCTGTTACTGTGCTTGGCACATCGAATACATCACGGGGAGCTTGCCAGGCTTTGCCGTGCGGGCGAGATACTCTCGGTAGCTTGCCGGGCTCTCCTTATTTCAGAGACCCATAAAACTCAAAAGAGATCAAAGGCCCAGTTAATCTCGGACCCGTGCTTGGCTGAATAGACGTAAGTAAATTGGAGGAGGGCAGGTTGGCTTGGTGCCCGCCCAAGCAGAGCCCCCAGCAGCCACTTGCGTCCACAGTCCAAAATTGCCTCCATACCCCCAGCCTGACTCCACTGTCTCAGGACAGACTTCACCAAGATAGAATCTGCTGAAAATTCAGGTTTGCGGGTTTTGTGACTGAAATCTCCAGGCTTTCTCAGGGTGGGGATGGGCTACCTCCCCCCACCTCCCTGTACTTCTGGAAGCCTCGGCCATCACATCCACACCGCAAAGCTGCCACCCAATTGAAAAGCTTCTCCAGCCTTACTGTCCTGATAAAAAACACAGAATTCCCTGAACAAACACCATAACCTCTTGGCACCTGTATTGCACAGAAGGAAAAGGAGAGAGAGAGAGAGAAAGAAAAGTGCCTCCCATAGAGGGAGGATGGGGGTGGGGGCTGGGGGCTGAGGGACACTGGGGGTGGGAAATGTACACTGGTGGAGGGATGGGTGCCGGACCACTGTATGACTGAAACCCAACTATGAACAGCTTTGTAAGGGTCTATCTCACAGATTTTAAATTAAAAAAATGTTTCAAGCAATGTGGAGTTCATGCCCGATTCAATCAGCTTAATCAATGGCCGAATAAATAGCAGTACTCCCACGTTAAAAAAAAAAAAACTCACCCACCAAGGCACCTGTCTGGCACGCACCTGCAGCCATGACCTGGTTTAAATCCTGGCCCTGCATCAAGCTCACCAGGAGATGGGGACATGGAGGGGAGGGGGAGGGGAGGGGAGGGGAGGTGGAGGGAGTGAGCAGGGAGTCAGGGAGGACACTGTCAGTGGGACCCAGGGCACAGCCCCAACTCCCGGACTTCCAGGACCCGGCCCTGCCCGACCTTGGCTCAGACCTCAGGCTGTGGCTTCCCCGACTGACCCTCACCGTGCTGGGCAGCACTTGGGGGAAGACCCAGGAAACTCAAGGGGGGGAGCGAGGGCCGGGGCCACACCTGCGGGCACCCGGGGACTGGCCTCCCAGATGTCCGTGCTGCTGGGCACACAGGGAAGAAGTTAGTCATAAACTGGTTTCAAACATCTTGTGGGCGTCGCTCTTGCTGCTGTTTGGGGGCTGTGTGTTCAAAAAACAAATGTGAAAGGCTGCGGCTCTGCCACTCTCGCTGCCTGCACTTGGTGGTCTCCGGCCGCTTCCCCACCATGGACAAATGCTGTCATGATC